TGAAGAATAGGATTCCTTCTATTTGACACAAGATAGTTTTTATATATATTTTCAAATGATTTTAATTTCTTCGCTATCCATGTTCTCATTTTAGAGGGGAAGGATGCTTTCTTAAATTTGAAATTTTTGTCACAACATCTAAGATTTAATTTTCCTAAATTTACTTTTAAAAGTTTAGCATTTAGTTTAGTTAACTTTGCCTTTCAACTGCATTTTATTTAGCATTCACCTGTTAATTAATATTAAAACTTTGCACTTTACTGTTGGTAGTTTTAAAATAGTACTTTACATTATAATTTTACGAACTTATTTACCGGTATTTCCAACTTTCCTATGGGATCGATATCTAGGACTCCATTAGAACTCTTAATTATTTGAGTAATACGTCTACTTGTGTTAGTATTAAAGGGCATTTGGCAGTTTAAAGATTACTAAAAGATACAACTATTTTAATTGAAGTTAATTTATTGAGATTAGGTTTGAATTATGTTTTACTTTATAATCATAAGAATGTATTCATAAGCATTTCAAATTTCCCTGTGGGATTGATATAATCAGATTGACACCTTCATTAGAGCCCTTTATTACTTGAGCGATATGTATACTTACGTTATTATTACGGGTTTGACAGTTTAAAGATTTTTAAAAGATAAAAGAAAAATTATTTTTACTAAAGTTATTTTTATTCAGATTTTTGCATATTTATTATTAGCACTTTTTGTGTGTGTTTTGTAATATTGAAAAATATTTACAGAAACAATACACAACAAATTCGCGCATCACCTAGCCACTTGACCAAGTGGTTAAATCCAAACCTAAGCCCCCTTAGCCTAAACCTCAAGTCTCCCTTGGATCTTAACCTTTGAGCCACCTTGAGAGCAAATTAACTTGACCTCTCAGTCCCTCTGACCTCTCTGAACTCAGAGGTGACTTCACCTTGGCCGACCAGCAAGCCAGCCGCAGGAAAACACCATGCCCGAGAGATCCTAAATGGTTTAAACCCAAAATTTGGACTCCTTGAGCTAACTCACTATCATTGGCTATCAGAACTCTTCTTCCCTCCACCTAAGTGGCTCCCCTGCCACCCTGGCTTGCCCTGGTGGCAGTCATGGCCTCCTTTATAAATAAGAGACCCCCCACGTCCAAAACAAGGAAAGTGCTCAAACCTTAGCCAAACTCTGTCAAAACTTCTCCAGACCTCCTAGCAACCTAGAGAAACTCATTCCCACTATTTTCCATCCCTCATTCCCACTCTTCAGACTTATGTTCAAACCTAAAATCCAGGATTTTTCACTGTCATGCTTAGAACTCAATCAATTTCACAAATTGATTTACTCTTAAGCTTCACCAAAGTAAGAGAGGAAGTCCACCACTAAAAACCCTATCTCTATAGCCCTCTGCATCATACTTAGACCAAGGGTGAGCTACCTCATGGTTAAACTCATACACAGAATCAATCCCAGATCAATCCAACACCTCAAGGACCTTCGTTGGACTCCCCCACTAAAAACCCTATCTCTAGAGCCCTCTGCATCATACCTAGACCAAGGGTGAGGTACCTCCTGGTTAAACTCATACACAAAATCAATCCCAGATCAATCCAACACCTCAAGGACCTTCATTGGGCTATACTAAAGCTTCTGTAAGCACCCACTCGAGGCCTCGCCTCTTGAGCTAAGGTATAGATCACTAACCCTAATTTTGGAATTGGTTTCACCAATCATGAAAAGAATGTTTTTTTCATTTGCTTTTAACCATATAGATGTGTTTGTCTCGACTAGATGAAGCTATAGGATCAAACCTCATGCGATTTGGTTGAGTATCAAAAGATATCTTAGGTTTAGAAAATGAACGGTTTACGGGTTAGGTCATTTAGTGACGATGATCACGAGCCTTCCGATCACGCATATATCGGACGGATGGACCAGATAGCGTCGAATGAGGAGATGAAGCGGTAAAGGCGGGATCCATGGCGACTGACATGGATGGCAGTGTCGAATAAAAATGTGACGTGTGGTCTTCGACAGATACAATGATCTAGTCAACTCTGACTCGGATAAGTAGGAAATTAGCTATTTAATGATTTAAATAATTCAGAAACTTCAAAGTAGTTAATCATAAAAATAAAATAAAATGCCCATGTGCTCAGTGAAGAGAGGAGAATCATGTGGGCAAAAAATAAAAATTATTTTCCTTATATTTATTTTTTAATTAATTAAATACTCTAAAACTTAATTGAATCATAAATAATTAAATATTAATCATCATAATATCAAATTTGGAGGTATTTTTCTCTTTGTGATTAGGACTATTCCATGATTTTAGCCCTTGCGGTACCCTTGAAGCGGCCTATACAGAGCAAGATGATTCCTGAGAACACTCTAGGAATTCAACTTATCACATTTTAAATGGAAATTACAAAACATTTTCAATGGTAATTACAAAATGTTCTAAAGGAAATTAAGGGACATAGCCCAATTTTAAATTTACAAAGCGAAGGGTGTTAGAATAATGATGTAACATTGCACAAAATTAAATGAAGATTGAAAAGTAAACATATTAAAGGTCACAATCACAAGAAATACAATTTTTTATGATTCAGTTATATTCACATATGTCAATTGTCAAATAGAGATTAAATATTCCATGAAGCATTAAAGGAGAAATATATCAAAAAAAAAAAAAAAAACATATATGCATGGATAAAGATAGAGATATTAGTTTATGTATATAAAAGAGGTGATAGATCCAAACACCTGCTGCAAAATAAGAGTTAAATATAGAAAATGTTGCCAAATGCTATTATCATCTTACATTCTGGATTTCGAAAGCTACTTCCTCATTTCTTTTATCTTCTACAAGAGCTTTTTCATTTGACAACTTAAAGCTTAAGCTGTTCTCTACATTCTATTTGCTTTGGCTATTAAAACACACCAACACGTCGGAGCCATCTTATATAGTGCTCGGGGTGATATGTAATAAACACAAGTTTATTTAGTAAATGATGGCAGGTATCAATAATGTAGATGTTAGGAAGAGCAAGGTAAATAATGAATTTATAAAGGCAAGACAAATGTGATAGAAATTTTGTATGAGTTAGGTAAAAAAAAATTTATGTTCACATCTTAACTCTTAAATGGAGTTATATATATTTAGCCGTGAATCAGAATCCTGTAACACCACATATTGGTAAATGGCAAAAGAAGAAGAAACCTCAAGTTTTACCAATCTATTAGTAGACACACATAGAAGAGCAAAAGAGGAAGCATAGAACAAGTTGAATTGAGAGGATTTCTATGTTCATTAAAAAATATGGTCGTAAAAATTGGACCAGACATCAATTAGAAGAATGAAAGATTTAAGGTTCGCTGATTCGACCTGAGTTGAATGTGAGGTTGAACTGAATAATGTAATAATGTATAAATTTATTTAAATATGATATAAATGATATGTTTTTTAAAAAAATTGATTATTAAAATATAATATAAATATATCAATATTTAAATAATAAATATCACACTAATTTTCAGAAATTATTTTAAAATTTAATAGTTACTTTTCTAAAAAAGTTAAGTATGAAACATAAAAATCGTATTATAATAATTATATATATATATATATATATATATATAAGATGATAAAAATAAAATAAGCTGAGATTTTCTCAAAATATCAGATTCTAAAAATTAAATATTGTCAGAATCTAAAATGAGTAAAATCTCTCAAGACATGTTGTCTGTTCTTCTTCTCATCCATAAATCTGTCACGTGGCACTAAGGAATTGTAATCATTCTTCCATCAAACTCCATTATAACCGTGTTTTACTCGGCCTCTATTTTCTAATGCATTTCCTCTCCATTGGAAACTCCCATGGAGCCCACCTTACGTTTCTAAAGCCACTTAACAATATCCAGTCAAACCAGCCGGTTCTTGCCGATTCCAAGCAGGTTCAAGTTGGTTCCAACCAATTAAATTCAGTTCGATGTAGGGTGATTTTTAAGCCAGCCCGATCCAAACCATCGGCTAGTTCATGGTCGAACCGATAGGTTCAATCAGGTTGTCTAAACCATGCTGAAAAACAAAATAAGATTTAGCATCCCACCATCCCCACAAATCTATCATTCATCCCTTGTTACATAAATTTTCTTCAATTAATAGTGGGATTTTTCTATATGAAATGAAAATAAGTGATCATCCTTAGAGATTTTTCTCTTTTGTCTTCTTCTAATATTGACATATAATTAATATTATCTTTAGGGTATTATTTTCTGACGACACCATTTTTTTCCTTTTATTACAGCATGTTTATTAGTGTATTGCTTGAGCTTAAAAAATAAACATTGCCGCATTATCGAGTGTATTGCTTGAGCTTGACATATGAAAAGAAGTATTTGTTCCATGGCCTATACTCGGACAGTTCTTTAATCTTGATTTGGTAAATTGAGCCAAGGGACTGATAATTTTTTCTTGTAAGATCATGCCGATTTTCTTCTTGAGTTCAGTATACTCATATGACTGATGATTTTTAAATATTCGATTTCGAACCTGGTTGAGGTCGGCTCAAAACTAGTTCGAAAAAAATTCAATACAAAATTTTGGTTCGTAGCTCGGTTCGTTTATTTCGATCTTATCTCATTCCGAGCCAAAATTCGAATAAATTTTTAAATGATTAATAATTTTTTCACTAAATTTGCTAAATTCACAGTCTTAACATCACTAGTCTGTTGACGATCGGATTTCGAGCCGAACTGGGATCGGCTTGAAAGAAAAGATGATACTACTTTTAGCTCGTAGCTCAGCTCATTTATTTCAATCAAATTTGTAACATTTAAAGATCTTCAAGGTAAATTCACAGCCCTATATTACATGTTGTTAACTGTACGTCTAGATAAAAGTTCAAATATGATCTGAATTACACAATAGCTCATCTTGACCGTTGTGTGAACGCAAGAACGCCACACATTATAATTTCTGACCATATTGAAGGAAACCGGCAATAGTAAATTGCTGTGGATAACACGACAGTTCTGCAGGAGTATCGGACCGGTTCTACCTCCAGTCGCCTTCAGTTCTCTCGACACCAGCCGCCCCAACCATGTTACCCGTTGGTGGGGCTGTCGTACGCCGATGGGCTCTATGGGAGCTTCGCCGATGGGCTTCGCAGATGCACCTTGCGAAATCTTTCGGAAAAATGCACAGAAGCTCTCTTCTGCACCTCCTCAATGTCGGCAGAAGCCGTCGGAGCCAGAGGAGCCCCGCCAATAAGAGTATCTCTCACCGATTCGGCCGGAAGAGGCGTCTTCGCCACAAGAGTTATAGGATCCGGCGAGCTCATACACACTGCGAAGCCCCTCGTAACCCACCCTTCTCTCGCTCTCCCCGATCGAGTATTTATACATCTGCTCAATGATCTTCTTTTTCTTATGATTTATTTTTTTAGGAGGCTAAATTTATGCCTTATAGTATCCATCTAGGTTTGTTACTATTGCTTGAAGAAGTTAAACAGGGATGATTTGAGCAGTAGTTTTTCTTCATTGAAAGGAGAAGGCGACTCTTCATACTGCTTTTGCGGGGAAGAATGCAGAGATATATCCAAGGTTTGCTGTTATATTCGATGTTTTGGGTGGCTGTTATGTGAAAACCCCTTTATTGTTAATATTAATTTTCAGGCTTGCTATGAAGTTGAGAGCAAAGCAGACTGGTCACTCATTCATGATCATTGCAGGTTTACAAACATTCTGGTTATAAATACATCGCTTACTATTACCTTTTGTTTCTCAAACGCAGCCTAACTTGAACATTTCTTGCACACTTTTCAAGAAAACTTTTTTTTACTTCAAAATCGTAGATTTGCTTTAATGTGGAAACATGAAACTTAAAACAAATGCATAATTGGGTAAATAAAAGGTACATAATGCATTTCAGAGATTCATTGAAGTACATTAAAGTGCACTAGAGCAAAACAAGGTTCAAGTACCCAACCCATTAGTTCTTCTTTATATGAAGCACAAAGCTTCAACAACAAAAATGAAGTGTGATTTGCCTTATTTTCCTGGGGTTTATAAATGACAACCATATCAAGCTTAAATTTTTTTCGGGGATTTGAGCTGCAATTTTAACTCGATCATTATTATGTTTTACTTTTTCACCGATACTACATAGTAACTAGTCTTTTTATAATATGCTCATGAGATCATGAGGACAATTGTCATATCGTTTCGAAAACAGCCCTATTGTTTGACAGTGCTTATCTCTAATAGAGAGGCATGACATATTGCTAACTATAGGCTCCCGAAGTTTTGAAACCCCTAAAAGCTTATGTTTTTGAATGCAGCTAGAAGTGCAAGCAATGACATAAAAATGCACTCATGAACAGTTAATATAGCTTTAGGATTTAGGGGTTCAGGGATCTTGATTACCTAGACTTTAGCTTGCATCCGCTAATATACATTTGAAAATAACGATATGAGAATGTAATTTTTTTTTTTTTTTATAAAATGTTTCTTATTCCTAGAAAATAACAATATGAGAATGTAATTTTTTTTTTTTTTTTTTATAAAATGTTTCTTATTCCTTTTTTTAATTCATTCATATTTAGTTTAATTTGACTCTTTCTCTTGAAACTTTCCTAGAAAAGCATGAAATTCCACTTAGTCCTAATTATCCAAGTGGGGCACCAAGATTCCTATTTCAAGATTTTTTAGTAATGAGGGCAACTTTAAGAAATGGTTTTTTTTAATCGCCTCCAAGTCACCAACAAATAATAAATATGATATGTGATGTATTTTTAGTTAAAACTAAAGAATCAAAATTGACTTTAAAATTTAAGTTTAATCTAACTATTGAACTTATGTCACACATGGTATTATTCTTTAAGACAATCAATTACTAGAGTTAGATTTCTAACAATGTAGATTTCAAAGCTTAAAGGCTCCTTCAATCTTTGTGATAATCCGTCTCCAATTCTAAAGACAGGGTGTCTAGATCCTCAGCTCTCTAATCAATCAAAGGACTAAAGTGCCTCTCAGCTAGTGGAATTTTCATTCAACATAAATCTTAGATTCAAAGTGTCTCCTCCATCTATTGTCCTCTTCGTCAGAAGTACTAAATTACTCCTTCTCCTTATAACTAAAAATTCCTCCTTGTGAGAACATAAATACCATTCAATAACTCTTTAATTCTTTGGGTAGGGCTCAATGGAGCATTCTCATCAGCCCATTCAAATTTGCATGTCTTGAGCATTGGAGTCTCTGATGCACTCTTCAATGTCAACATATCGTTTTATGATTATTTATGTCTTAATTCAAATTTAGACGAAGTGTTCATGGCAAATTAGGCTAAGATAGTTTGAAAGAATTGATTTGAGCACGCAACTAAACTATTTTACTGAGTAGTTCAGTGGCAAACAAAATGAAATGTACCCTCTCCACTCCGACACTTGGCTCAACAGCTTCAATCCGCTCAACTTAAATTTCGGTACACGGCTCGGGCCGGGGTACTTGTTCAATTGAAGTGGACTGTAGACCTATAGAACTAAGTCTAGTTGTCTTGAGCACTTAGAGAAGGCTCAAGAGAATATAATAACTTAAGTCGGTTCAATTAACAACCCACTGCTGCTCACATGAGTGTTGCCACTGCAAGTGTTATTCCTCGACCTTTCCACCTCTCTAACAGTTTCAGTAGGTGATATTTCTCCATTTAGTTGAGGCAGGTTGGGGGCTACTCAGGCCTCTAGAACTTTCTATTTGTAGTTTTATATACTTATGTATTGCTGGAACATTAGTGGTGGTTGTCATTATGAATGTAAAATGTAGAGACAAAGGTTTTCTCTCTATTGGCAGCTTCATCTATATTTCTTCCTGTTTCTATTCTAACGTTTCTACAAGTTATCATGGTATCAGAGCTTGGGACTCCTCTCCTACTCTTATGCTCAACAAGACTGATTTCAGAGATTAGCTTCTACCTCTATTATTTTCTTTCTACTATTTTCTTTCTCCTTTTCTAATCACTCATTATGTCAGATGCCCACTCCTCCAGATGTAGAACAAATACCTTTTCTTTAACACTCATGGCTGATATTACCATTACTCTATCTCTTAATTTTTTTATGTCCAACATCAAGGGTGGCACCGCCATTCAACCTGCGGGAGACAAATATCCCACATGGATCTTTCGGGCAAATGGTTTCTATTGTTTCCTGGATGGATCAGCCATTTGTCCATCTACCAAAGCAGTGACTGCAATGACGTTTTTATAATCAACCCTCTCTTCCTCATTTGGCAATTGATTGATCAAAATCTTTCAACGACTCTGTATTCAACAATTTTCCATTCCATTCTACCATACATACTCAACTTGGCATCTACTACAGCAATATGGCATATCCTAGCAATGATATTGCAATCTACCAATCTATCCAGAGTGATGCAGCTTCAAAATGAACTCCATCAGTTCTCCATGAAAGACCACACTATGTCTCAATACCTGTTGGACATCAAAGCTATCGTTGACAACATAGCATCAGCAGGAGGAAATATAGATCAAGAAGAAATTATTTTACATATCCTATGTGGATTGCTCTCCATATATCAATCTTTCAAAACGAAAATTTGTACAAGAGCTGAAATGATCTCCCTAGATGATATTTACTTCCTATTATGCAGTGAAGTGACTGTTATTGCTGCAGAAAACATCAAAGACTCGCATAATGTTGCCATAGCACTTTTCTTATCTACTTCAAGAGGAGGTCGTGGCAACACAAGGAGCAGAAGCAGAGCTAATCCTAGCTTTAGGAGAGGTACCGCTAAGTTTTCACCTAACCGGGGAGGCCGATCCTCAAACAGTAACACAACTCTATCATTATGCCAAATTTGTGGGAAATTTGGCCATACAACTTTAGCATGCTGGCATCGAACCAACTTCTGCTCCTATCCTACAGTCAAAACCTAGACAACTCTCGTCTTAATCTACCCCCAAAGCAGTGAGTGGATACTTGATAGTGGAGCTACAAGTCACTTAACAACAAATTCAGACAACCTTCAACAAGCAACATCCTATCACGACAACGATATCATTGTAGTTGGGGATGACATCTCTCTTCCTTTCACCCATATCAGGCAAGGTCTTCTCCCTGCACCTCACCGTAAGTTACGACTTCCCATTCTTCTTTACTCACGACTTCTTTCCCACAATATACTCCCTGTTCATCAAGTAACAGCTGGTAATGATTGCACTTACTCTTTAATCAACATGGTTTTCTTATCAGGGATCGGAAATAAACCAATTCTACAAGGCCCCAGTAGGAATGACTGATCACAGCTTTATATGCCATCAACTCTACGTCCATTCATCTTAGCCTCGGCACCGACGTCTAGGCCATCCAGTTCGAGAAATCACTGCTGCCATCTCCAGGACCCAAATTTCTATTGGCATTCCTCCTGTTTTTACTTCTTGCACTGATTGTAATTGTGCTAAGAGTCATAGACTGCCTTTCTTTCGTTCTGTGTCTAGGTCTAAGTTTCATTTTGAATATATTCACTTTGATATATGGGGGCCCTCTATCCATGGTTATAAATACTATATCTTGTTAATCGATGATTATACACGTTACTGTTGGTTATTTTCAATGCTCGCAACATCAGAAACTACTAATAAAAGCATTTCATTTCTTAATATCATCATGAATCACTTCAATACTACCATTAAAACTCTTTGGTCGGATGGAGGCGGTGTATACAGGTTTCACACATTACATCAATATTTTTCCTCTAAGGGTCTACATCATTTCAGTTATTCCTATACCCATCAACAACACAGAGTCTTCGATCACAAGCACAAGCACCTTATTGAGACCACTCGCACCCTACTACTCACAACCCAACTCCCCACTCAATTTTGAGCCGATGCGCTTACTACAATAACCTACTTTATAAAATGCATGCCCACAAAAAAAAACACACCTCATATCTTCCTATAAGTTTCTACATAAACATCCTTCAACCTAACACATCTACGTACATTTGGATGACTTTGTTTTCCTTGGCGGAAATTTCTTCAGTCAAACAAACTACTTCCTATGGCATAACAATGCATTTTTATAGGATACTCTCCAAATCACAAAGGCTACTTATGTTACAACTCACACACAAGCAAGACACTCATCTCCTGACATGTAGTGTTCAATGAAGCTATCTTTCCAACTATATCGAAAATCATCCCTATTACCCCTCCCTCATTCAACTTATCACCATCTCTTCTACAGCCTACATTCCCATGTCCTATCTCCACAAACAAACCCTCAACATCACCAATAACTACTATCATCTTACCACTTTAGTCTACAGTATCTTCACACAACTCTTCAATCAACAGGTCTCCTATCCCAAATCCCCATATTCCACCAAAACATCTCATGATTACAGGGCTTCAAACTGGTTCCTTAAAACCAAAACCAGTTTGATCTCCATACCATTCTGACGCACTAAGCTGACCCAACCTGTTACACAAGCCGTCAAACATCTCCATTGGAGGCAAGCCATGTCAACTGAATTTCATGCTTTACCAAGTCAAGAAATGTCAACTTGTTCATCCATAATCAAATAGCAACATCATTGGATGTCGATGGACTTATCGTACCAAGCTTAATCGTGATGGCTACCTTATGAAGTACAAAGCACGACTTGTTGCTCATGGTTTCAAGCAAATGCACGACATTGATTATAAGGAAACTTTCAACCCGTTCGCAAAATTACCTACCATTTGCATATTGCTTATAGTTGCTCTCCATCATAACTGACCGATTCAACAATTGGATGTATCCAACGCCTTTCTTTATGGATCACTAGCCAAAACTATCTACATGAGACAACTGCAAGGCTTTGAAGATACTCAATCACCTGATAAAGTGTGCCTACTCAAAACGCCATCTATGGTCGCAAACAAACTTCACAGCAATGGTATACCACCCTCTCCAATCACCTTAAAAGTAAAGGGTTTCACATGAGCACTGCTGATCATTCTCTCTAGATCTATCATCGTAAAAATGTTTCAATCTATCTTATTTACTTTGATGACATCCTCTTCACGGGCAACGACTTGCCAACAATCGAAACTAACTCACAAGATCTGAGACGGGTTTTTCAGCTCAAGGAACTTGGCCTCATCAATTTTTTTCTAGGCATTCATATTCAACACACTTCAAAAGGTTACTTTCTCAGTCAACAAGCACACATCACTTCAATCCTCCAACAGCTCGGCATCGAAAATTGTAAGCCGATTCTTATTCCGCTCCCAACAAAACTGAAACCGGATATTGCATCTCAGCATGACTTCTCCAACACAATGCAATACCGACAGTTGACAGGATCACTTCAATTTTTCACGGTTACTAGGCCGGATATAGCTTTTGCTATAAATTACATCTGCCCACACACGTATAAGTTTATACTTTGTCATTTTCAGCTCATCAAACATCCCCACACTATCTCAAAAGTACCATTCACTATGATCTTCACCTTCAAACCTATAAAAATTCGGACTGGGCTGGCAATATTGAATATCGTCGGTGTACTACAAGTTCTTGTTCATTTTTAGGAAGCAATCTTATCTTTTGGACTTTTCAAAAATAGAAAACGGTTGCTAGATCACAACTAAGCTAAAGATAGAGCTCTAGCTGTTGCATCCACCAAAATTCTCTAGCTCAGGCGACTTATACAAGAATTTAACTTTCCTATCACCGCTCCTACTCCCATCTATTGTGACAACATTTCGGCTATTGCTATTGCTCTAAATCCCATTTTCCACGCTGGTACTAAACTCTTGGAGATTGATCATCACCTTGTGCGTGATCGTGTTGCCTCGGGATTAATCAATCTTCATCTTGTTAATTCTCAGGATCAAACTGCCAACATTCTTGCTAAATGCCTACCGGCAACTCAGTTCGGCAAGCTTCGCACCAAGCTCACTATCCTTCCATTGGACTGTGATCTTAAGGGGAGGTAATAATCCACTGCTGCTCACATGTGTGCTGCCACTGCAGGTGATATTCCTCCACCTTGCCACCTCCTCTAACGGTTTCAGTAGGTGATATTCTCCATACAACTGCAGCAGGTCCGGGACCACTTGGGCCCCTAGAACTTTATATTTGTTATTTTATATACTTATGTATTGCCTGAACATTAGTGGTGGTTGTCATTATGAATATAAAATGTAGAGAGAAAGGTTTTCTCTCTATTGGCAGCTTCATCTATATTTCTCCCTGTTTCTGTTCTAACATTTCTACAGGTTATCAGTAGTAACACTAATTGATGTCAAAGTAGTTTAAAATAGGCTTAGGTTGATTTAACATGTGCGATAAAGGGTGGAAATTGCATCCATTAGACGGGTAAATAAAATAAATGTTCAAGTATTTGGAGTTAAAAGGCGTGAACCTAAGATAACTTATATGGAAATTTTTCATATATATGGGAATATGTAATTAGCACTTTATGCAACTCTAAACAAGAGTGGATTGAAAATGGTAGTGGATCAACAAGTTGAGATAAGGCTAACGATGGGGATCATAATATTCATTTAGTTCTTTATGAATTCATTTTGTGTCAGCTGAATGGCCAAGATTGTTTTTAACTTTCTTTATTTGTTTTATCTTTTATATATATTAATTTTATAGTTTTATTGGATATTTTGTTTAAGTTATTGTGCATTGGATTATTTCAAGTGAATTCAAATGGTTGGGTTCAATGAAAATTTACTCATTTTGAGTTGAATCAACTCCACTAAAATAGTGCATCATTTGAATTCAGGTTGCGGCCTGCTTGCTCGAACTGAGCTCATTTTCACCACAGATCTGCCAAAATATATGTGCCTATTCCAACTCTAGAAACTCTACACTTAAATAGGCGTCAGATACTAGTTTCAATTTTAATTTAGAATATTAGACAAGTTTTTGCTGAAGCTTTTTTGGACAAAATTTTTAACAGTTGATATTTCCTAACAATGTTCCTCTTCTATACAGAGCACAAAATTTTAAGTACTTATTGATGGTAGAACGGTTTGTGTGCATGGTTATATCGGGAACAGCAAGAATATTAGACAAGTTTTTGCTGAAGTGTTTTTGGACAAAATTTTTAACAGTTGATATTTCCTAACAATGTTCCTCTTTTATACAGAGCACAAAATTTGAAGTACTTATTGATGGTAAAACGGTTTGTGTGCATGGTTATATCAGGAACAGCATCTGCCAATGGTCTTGATATACTCCAACCAGCCACTTTACTTCCTGGGACAGTTTCACAAGTGAGTGACTCTTCAGACTACTAAATGTCCTGGCTGTAAGATTTAACCCAAGATTAAGGTGTGAGACAACAAATAAGAAAATCATTGGTACCATGAGGATGTATGCTTAAACGCTTAGCTCTATTACTCTGGGAATGCCTTACCTTACCCAGAAAGTAATGAATCCCACAAGTCGCTCTGTCATTGTGGTCCTCAAATTGTGTCGAGAACTTTTAATTTGCTCAACAAATCACTGTAATTAACCTTCTGAGGATCTGGCTGAGTTTTCAAATGTGTTGAGAGTTGAGTAAGTTCTCGATAGAAGATATACATTTAGACTGCTTTTGAATTAGACCACTCACATTAGAACTCTTGTTATATCGGGTAAGGAGAAGGTAAATTGCATACATTCTGTGTAAAAAATATTTTCTTAAAATAGTTTTAACACTTTATGCAATGTTAAGCAAGGATGAATGGAGGAAGGAGGCATAGGATTTTGGGGTTAGTGAAGAATCTTCTAGGCTATAGAAGTTTTTTTACCCTACTTTCTTCTCCAGATAAATACTAGATTTTATTCTTTAATTTGCTTACTCGCTTACTCTGTTTTCTTTTGTTTAAACTGTTTTCTGTATCATATACATATCATTTTTTGTTTTTTCAGATGGAAGAAGAGTTTGAATTGCTCAAATGGACTTTATTAGAGGCAAAGGTTGATGAAAAGCTGACTGGATGTATCCTCTATCATAGGTGTGGTCATTTTTATGCTGTTTTCTTTTAATAGTTTTTCACTATTGCCACAAGAAACCTTTTTTTTGACTAAACCAGTTCTCACAAAGCATTGGTACATGGGTATACTGGCGCGGATTCGCATAAATGCATTCCGCATTGAATTAGTGGCAGCCTCATATGAAGATATACTTGCATCAGCAGCAGCCTCTGTTGCAGCTCAAGCTGCTGTTGGCAGTGCTGTGTATATGCTTCCGTCACTCTATAACCATGATTGTGGTATGTATTTTTTCAGCCACGGAATATTTTCTTCCTGGATGTTGGATTTTGTGTACTCTTTGTTATGACTATCATTTTAGTTTAGTCTTATCCCATCTTTAAGCACTTAATTTAGCCTCCTTAACTATTCCTGTCTGGTATCATTAGGAGTTCTATGTATATTCATTTAACATCCAACGATGTTTTAGAGGCATCACAATGTTATTGATGGCATTCCTCATACTTTTTTATTGACCAAGGTTTGTTTAGGGTTGCTGCAGCTTTTTGTTAAGGTGGTTGTAAAGTTTTGGTGAGAAAAATAATTTTTTAGAACGTTGTGATGAGAATTATTAATATTTATATTTTTTTAAGATGTTAAATAATAACTTTCTTGCAACCACACTGTTTAGCAGATCTGTTTGTAAAAAGCAACTTCCCACCACAAAAAATTTTAGAAAAAAACAAGAAAACAGCTCCACAAATATAGTTGTGATGGCTATTTGAAATGCAACGCTTGCAGAAAACTATTCCACGCATATACTAAATGCAAACCACCTGTTTAATTTTATGACTCCTTATCTACTTCGATTATTACCCGTAACATGTGCTTTTGACCCTTAAAACGAATGCTCAAAGTTTGATTTTTATGAAGAAAGAATGAAAAAAAGGCTACAATCACCTCAAGGGGCTTCTTGGTTTGAGTATCACTTTGAATTTTTGGTCACCGGCCATTTACCACTTGTTGCTTGTTGGAGACGATTTGAAGATGATAGAGCTCTTTAGAGCATGCTATTTATATTGATCAATTACTTTCTAGACACGACTAAAGAAATTGTCAGTCAACCTTGAGGAATGTTTATCTAGAAATGCATTCTAACGCTCAAGCCAGTAAACCTGTTAGAAAGAAAGAATGGCTCGGCAAAACCTTTCTTCGAGAATGAAGAGGTCTGAAAATCTATCTTTATCTCCCTCCCTAGAAGCTAATAATAATAATACACCTACAGTACAACATACTCATCTACTTTATCATTTAACATCCTCACTGTATAACCTTGACCAACTAATCTCATCCCAGTCACATTCATGGATCGCATATATTTCTCTGTTTTCTATGTATATATACATTTACTGTCCCTTTAAGGGTATGTGTATGTAAGCATTAGAATTACTTTATCTTTCTTCTTCTTATTTTGCTTTCTCCCTTCTCTTTCGCATCTGCTTTCATTTCATGGTATCAAAGCCCTTAGCAAAACTGCAATGGATGACTTTGTGACCTCCCAGTTCCACGAAGCTAGATGTCTCTTTCGCTCTTGAGCGCGGCAATTTCCCAATCGTTGAAATTTTGTATGACAAACATCAAAGCCATTGTTACCTCCTAGAGCAATGCTTTGTGAGAACCATTTGAACACAATTAATCCGATTGCTCTAGAAGGTCTCTACTCTCTTCTTTTCAATGAAGAAATCAACATTGCCAATGACAATTCAGCCATTCTTATAACCGATCCTCACCTAGCTCTGTACTCACAATTAGGAAAGAGTAGATATAACTCCAACAAAGTCCGGAATAATACTAACAATCAGGGATAAGGAGTTGCGGATACCACAATCAAATACTTACCCCCAAGTCAAACAGAGGAATTAGCACGATTCACTGTCAAATCTGCAATAAATCTGGACACATGCTCCCGAATGCTGGCATAGACTTAGGATCTGTTTGGGGTAGCTGCAGCTTATCTAACTTAACCAGATAAGTAGCTTATCGTAATAAGCTACTGATCTGCAGCTGATCCGAATAAGTTGATTGACTGTTTGATTTGTGCATTTGGAAAGCAACTGATTTGCAGCTGTTTCTGGATAAAATATCGTTCTGCTCCTGATCTGGATAAGTTGGTTAGCTATTTGGTTTGTGTGTTTAGAAAACAGATGATTTGCAGCTATTTCTGGCTATATATTTGATAGTTTAGAACAAAAAAAAATCATAACAATTCATAATAGTTCTTTGATTTTTTGTAGAAATGTTGTCCTTGGTCCATACCAAATAATAGTATGATTATAATACCCTAGACATTGATGCTTACAGGTCTTGCTCTAACTTGTAATAACATAAAAATTTCAATATAAAATAACAAAGAACCACTTTTTTCAAGCATAGCATGGTTTCTAATTGTATATACTTAAATTGATAGAATAACAAATTCCTAGTATTATTAACACGGAAGGTGTAATTTATTAGCTTGTAGGGGTGATGTAATGCCAATACCCAAAAGTGCCATTGGTAATGGCCTGTTAGAAATCATGGAACTGAAAATTGCTTATTAAGCTTCTAAAAGTTTAATTTTGATAACTATATTGACTAGATGCTGAAGTTGTAAAATTGTCAATAGGTAAAGCCTCAATTATTGAGTCAATGGGGAAACTTTTGTAGAAGTTATCACAATAGGAAACCACTAAGCCATAGTCCAGAAATTCATAAGCAACGTATTATAGAATAAAAGAATAAGAATCGATTTTCATAAAATTAAAGCTTGTTTGCGGCGAAGCAAAACAACCACACATAGGACCTCCCAACTGCAATATGACTAGACATAAGTCTACACAAAGCAAAACATTCTCAATTGGCTAGATAGAATAGGGAACCGAAAACAACTAATTGATGGAATACAAAAACTAATCGAAATGCTTGCTATGGTAAACCAAACTTGACGCAGTAAGCAGAACATTAGAGAACAAATCTAAACAACAAAGAGCAGCTCTGGAATATTTAAAGAAGATTTATTTTTTACAAAATTAATATCTCTATCTAAGGAGTTTGAATCAAGCATTGAGGCACATATTTATTGAAAAACAAAGAAAAAGAAGGACAGAGAAACAGGTCTAAATAACAAAGAACAAATCTAAACAAAAAAAGAAATCTTTATGCATAGAGATCTTCCTGTGGCTTGTGATTGAAGGAGGGAGGAGAGCGGAAGAAAAATGCTTACCGGAGAGAAGGTTTGTCGCAAAGGAGAGCAGGAAGATTTGTTCGACCCCTGCCGAGAAGAAGCGCAGAAGAAAAAAAAAGTGCTTACCGTAGAGAAGTTTTGTCGCGTGAGGGACTTCTGCCGAATGGGGGAGTCCGACGAAGGCTTCCAGGTTGGGCCGATGAAAGAGGGAGGAGCCCGAGAGGTAAATCGAGGGCGCGAAAGTAATAACCGTGCGAACGAACGCGGGCCGCGGGGATCATCTTTTGAACGCATTTTTAACTAAAATCAAATTCCGTTTTGGGATAAGTAGGTCAAACATGATAAACAAACAGCATGGCGGCGTTTTCAAAACACCGTCCACACTTATAAACTGCCCCAAACGGGCCCTTAATGCCAACTATCAACCAGCTAAACCTCCACCAACTACCGCTCTCATTACATCCAACACAATCGCTCCAGATTGGTATCTAGACACTAACGCAACAAGCCACTTGACGACACCTCTCGATCAATTTCAAACAGCCGAACCCTACCATGTTCAAGATCAAATTCATGTGGGCAACAGAGAATTGCTTCCCATTCAGCATCTAGGGCATGGTCTTATACGAAAATCGTCTCGTAAGCTTTCCCCTTAAACTGTTTCACTCACCTCAACTCTCTTGCAATCTAATTTATTTCTTCCAACTTGTTGTTGATAACAATTATTTTATAATCTTTGACGCTGCCAGTTATCAAATTAAGGACTGAATCTCGTAGCCAACACTTCTCTAAGGCCCAGGCCCCTACCGCAATGGGTTGTATTTAATTACTACAACTCAACATGCTCTCGTTTGTACCACGACCCGTAAATACTCTTGGCATCATTTGGGACATGCTAGTCACCAAACTCTTGCAACCACAACAAATCAACAACCCCGTCTCTCAATTTCTAGCACTTCTCTTTTTTGTAAGTCATGTACCACTATTAAATGTCATCATTTACCTTTTCCTTCTGTTAGTTATACTCAATGTAATCCTATAGAGCTCATGCATTTCGATGTTTGGGGACCATCCCTAACATCATCTATTCAAGGATTTAAATACTACATTCGATTTGTTGATATTTCTACTCACTTTTCATGGCTTTACCCAATGCATCACAAATCTGAAGTTCTTTCTAACTTCATCAAATTTAAACAGCTAGTAGAACTCCAATTCGATTAGAAAGTTAAAATTCTAAGAACCGATGGAGGTTGAGATTATGAAATTTGCAATTCAGCAATTTCCTCCTTAATAAAGACAAACAACCTGTCCATATACTCCAGAACAGAGTGGGATTGTCGTACGCAAACACTACCACATACTTGAGACAACTCGAGCTCTTCTAGTCGACTCCAACCTTCCACCCTCATTATGGCTTAAAACAGTGGTCACCACTATTCACTTCATCAAACGGTTGTCTTCACCTACTCCATCCAAGCTATCACCATATCAACTACTTCAGAGACCACCACCCGATGACAACCTCCTAAAAATATGGCTATGAGTGCTTTTCTTGGCTGCACCCCTCTCAATGAAACAAGCTTCTACAAAGGTCGGTTTCCTGTGTTTTCTTGGGATATCTTGAACACATCAAAGGCTATAAGTGTTTTAATCATACCACAGGTAAAATAACGACCTCTCGACATGTTATATTCAATGAACAATTCTTCATACATTCAATCTATCATTACACCGCAACCACCTAAACTCCCAGACTTACCTCCATTTACTCTACTACCTACCTCCAGTTCCTTTACATCACCTCAGCTTACCAATATACCCTGACCTCCACCATCTAAAATCACAAGACCTCCATCATCCAGCCACCTCCTCCTTAGCAAATACCACCTAAACCTCCCACACCAATCCCCACACAGCATGCCATGTTAACCTGTTCCAAAACAGGTTCCCTGCCAGCTAAACGAACCTTTGACCTCATGCATGCTACCACACAAGCTACTGAACCATCCACCTATAAGCAGGCCTCTTGATCTCCTTAATGGAAGCAAGCTATTGATGAAGAAATATCAGCACTTC